AAAATCACATAAAGCCATATTATAACATCGACTAAGATAAATAATAAAATAAAATATTAAAATCACGATGTATCTCGCTACATTGCGCGAGTACGCTTCTAGTATATATTATTGAATCATTCATAAATGGCAGCCATAAGGCCATGTGCCCAAGTATCAGTTTTGGATATTGAGCTGCCTGGTTCTTCATATTAATTTAGAACATTTTTCAATAAGAAAGTTCCATTTTTTTAAAATGACCTTAAAGCACTTCTGCATTACTTGTCCAATCAACAGATTTTGATCAACTTCAACAACATAAAGCACATATAAAATAATTTAGAACCCAAGCAACTTACAAAAGCTATTGTTTCAGTGTTTTGGTAAAAACGACAAGACATTATATATCAATAAAAAAACTTGTCCTACTCTTGGTGTTATATTGGATTGGAATAGGACAATACCATAGAAGAAAAAAGCAATTTTTTCTGTTCCACCTAAATCATAGAGACGACTCAAGATTAGTAAATTACTAAATTATCCATTTCAAATTAAAACCATAAAACCTTCCAACATCTTTTCACCCCGTCTACCTCAGTCTCGCTTGTCCGTATGTTCAAACAAGTGCGCCCACTCTATCAATCAGCCAGCCATCACTTGAACTGCTTCCCACAACACATCTTTTGCAACAAACATGTGCTCTTCTTCTGTGGAATGCAAGTTGAGCTTCAATATCTCATATCAGCATTTGGAAATCCAATTTCACATCTGCAATGTAATTGGCATAAAGCAAAAGACCATTAAAATGAATTGACCACCAAACTCAGTAAAGAACTTGGCAAGCAACTCAACAAACTAAAAGCAACTCTCCATTACATGAATTCATTCCACAAATAACAGCAATACAATTAGGAATCATCTAATACATGCATATGAAACAACTCTCAATACTCTGTAGAAACTTGCCTACTCGTAATCTTGCAATTCTCACTAACACTTGATGACGGTGACGTGCATTCTTCAAGTGGGTAGGAAGCCACAATATATCAAATTAATATGAGAAAACCCGAGTGAGAAAAACAATGATTGTGTCAAACCAATGGTGGAGGAATTGATTGCAAAAATCCCACTAATTTCTCTCTTACATCCTTGTCTTTGTGTAGTATGGCCATCCAGTAGCTACATATATAATGGGAGTGTTGTGTGATAGGAAGATCCTACTAAAATTGAAGGGTATATTCTATAGGGTAGCCATCAGACTAGCCATGTTGTATGGCAACAATGAAAGGAAGCTGGAAGATGCAGAAACGAGGATGCTTAGTGGCCAAACTATGTAGGACAGGATAATGAATGAGGTCTTCCAAGCAGATTTTGATTTTTGAGTAGTGCCAATAGGAGAAATGGAGAGATGAAAGACCGCATACGTTCGTAGGAGACAGAGGTCAAGGAGGTGGGGAGGGACAGGCCAAGGAGGCCATGTGATGAGCTGCTGAGAAAAGAAATGACGACTTTAAATATTTCCAATGACATGACACCAGATGGGCGTTTAGAGAGGTAAAATTCGGGTATCAGATTTGTGCAAGGACTTGTGGGTAGGTGGGCGACTTTTGGGGGTAATCAGAAGTAGCTTTTGTGAAAGTTTAGCAAGGACAGGGTCTTTCAGCTCACTTATGCGTTAGGTCATTTAGTTGGTTAGTACTTTTCGCTTCTAATATCCTTGCCTTAATCTTTTTACATGTGTTTACTGCTCTAATTGATTCAGTTTCTCTACTTTGCCAAAACCTTTCTTCCCTTCCCGAGTTTGTCCCAAGCTCTTTGTCGGTCGACTGCAAACGTTTGCACCATTGCAATGAGTTTTTCTGTTGAAATGTTTTGCCTCCTTAGCTACCCTGATCTCTTATTCCCTATGTCTCACCAAGTTGACTAATACCAACTCAATATGGTTGAAATTAACTTCCTTCGAGATTCTTTCTCACATCAACTCGTAACGCTAGTTCTACAGGAGAAAGATTGAACATTTGGGTCCAAAAAGGCAAGATAAAAACCTACTCAAAACCTAACTGCTGGCATGTTCAATTAAAAGAATAGTTGATAACGTATATGGATTAAACCAAGTAGTAGTAAAAGATGTGACATACAAATACTTAGAGGAAAGCAGCAGTCTAGCTTAATACAAACTTTCATTATCAATGATAGCACAATCACCTCAGATAGACCTTAACAGCAGACCTTCAACAAAGCCATGAAGAGCTGCAAAAACATAACCAGAAGAATGGAAGTGAGAGAAGATTGTAGAAAAACAATTAAACATAAATTGCTCAATTGCAACAGTTTAGGGATAACTACTGAAATTGAGAAGCAAAGTGAATGGAAGCATCATTTTCAACCAAGTTATGTTCTCGGGTTGTCAAGTTTTGCCTTGGGATACTCAGGGAGGGACTATGGCAAAAATTGATACAAAGGAGACAAGGTTTCTCACGCCATCTAGAGGCAGAGGGAGCCTCCGTACATGAAATTGAATTATGCACTCATTGAAGCCAGATATACCACGTATGGAGTATATGAAAACCAAATAAGTTAGTATTTATCTATCAACAGCAATCATCACAAACACAGTAGTAAAAGGTTGATCAGAAAAAAACTTCTGACAAATGAACATATTCATTTATTCATATAATCTACAGATATGTACAAGACCTGATTTTGTTCTCTGGGATTCCAATTGAATCACCCGCATCCTCTCCTAATGCTCCATGCACTTCATCCAAGAACGAGTCACTCTTAACACTTAACAGTTTTGGTTGGTCCTTTCACCAAATCTGGCTGCAGATATCTTTACAGTCAACATTGCCAACCGCCGGAGATGTACACCCTCTGCACTGTGCTTTCAGCTATTGGCTCCACAATCTGTGATCCATACGAGAATCTACTGCAAGTTCTCCTCAAGATCCTTCCACTATGTCAGGCATCTAATCGTGGTTCCCAACATGGATCATTATCTAACTTTGTTTCTTTGCGGTAAGCCAAAAGAACTTCTTAAGCACTTCCTTAGATGCATCATCCAACTCTTTTGTGGCCAACAAGTTCACTAGGATGGTTGATGTGTGTGCATTTGCAGAAAAGCCAGCACCAAGCATTCTTTCAAGGAATAAGAGTGCCATTCTTGTCTCGCTATATCGAAGAAATCCTTGAATAACTAAATTATAAGTAACACCATCCAGCATGCAACCTCCAACCATCATTTCTTGGAGCAAATCTTTTGCATCCTTAAGGTTACCATTCTTAAAAAATCCACCCATCAGGACATTATAGGTTTGACGATTAGGTTGCAAGCCTCTAGCAGGGAGTTTCCGAAAAAGTTCATGGCCAGCATCGACTTTCCCAGCTTTGCACATACCATCAATAAGGCTAGTGCAAAGAACAATATCAGGGACCAAGCCAATATCTTCCATAGTTCTTAACAATATGAGGGCCTCATCCAATTTTTCATTCTTCAACAAAGAATCTATCAAAGTGGAGTACGTAACAATATTTGGAAATATACCGTGATTCTGAATTTTATCAACAAGCAGAAATGCATCTTTGAGTCTTCCAACATGACAAAGCCCATTGATGAGAGTGGTGTAGGTCACGATATTAGGAACAATTCCCTTTCCATACATTTCACTAATGAGATCCAAGGCTTTGTCTATCCTTTTGCCCTTGGAGTATCCTTCAATCAAGATGCTATAGCTGACAACACAAGGCGCACACCCTTGTCCAATCATAACCTCGAAGATCTTTCTAGCATTATCCACTTTGCCCAGCAAACAATACCCATGTATTAGTATTGTGTAACTGATAGCAGTAGGCACACACCCTTGTGCAATCATAACCTCAAAAATCTTTCTAGCATCATTCACTTTGCCAAGCAAACAGTATCCATGCATTAGTGCAGTGTATGTAAAAGTATCAGGCTTCTCACCTCTTTCCAACATCAATTCAAGCATTTTATGTGCTTCCCCAACCTCACCTTGTTTACAGAGAAAATCAACTAAAATGCTACAGGTGACTACATCCAATGAGATTCCTTGAGCTTGCATTTCATTCAACAATCGCTGGGCCTCCTCCCATAAACCTGAACTGCAAAAACCTTGAATCAAGCTATTGAATGTCACCAGATCTGGCAGAATGCCTTTCTTAACCATTTCAGAAAAGATCTCCTGAGCTTGAATAACATGCCCATCTTTGCAAAGGCCATCAATGATCATATTGTACTCGGTTGTGCTCGGTTGACATCTCTCAGTTTCCTCCATATCTCTAAGCAAAAAAAGAGCAGCTTGCGAGTCGCCTGTTTTGCAAATCCCATTTATTATCGTACCAAAAGTTACTGCAGTTGGTCGTAACCCATTACTCATGATTTCGTTAGAAAACATCACTGCATGAGAAATGTCACCATTAGCACAAAGACCCCTCAACAGAGTATTAATTATTGCACAATCTGGCTTATAACCAAGCTTAACCATTTTCCCATACACCGAGAAACCAAAATCCACCCTATCCATATGGCAGAAACAGTTTATGGCAATGCCAAACGTATATAAATTGGGTTTAACAAAAGAGTTGAAGCCTAACAAGTCATGGTCAAGAATAAGAGACACGGCAGTAGGGTATTGCTTCAATTTAGCGATCTTAATCAAGATATGATTAAATTCACGAATTCGGGGAACAGGTATGCTCTCAACCATCCGATTAAACGAAAGCAGCGACTCCGTTAGGTCACAGTACGTTTGAGGAGTTAAACTTGGGGAGGTAAAACGAATTTGAGAATGAAAAGCAGCAGTGATCATATTATAAGCAAGAAGATTAGAACGCACCAGACCATTTTGAGGAAGAACAAACGCAGCCCTACACATTCTTTAACCTCAAATGAATTAAAACTATAAGAATCGAAGGTATGAACTAAAATATGAAGATGATTGACTTCCAAAATCCATTCAGCGAAGTGTTTCTCTGATGATTTGAAGGATAACTCGGAGGTCCCCTGTTCATCGTCCCCTGTCTTCAATGGCTGCGTATGCGACGGAGTTTGAAAATGAGGAGATTCTAGTGTTGGGAGGTGTACTGTAAGGAGGATGAGGGTAACTAGATGAGTGGCTCAGATTTGTATCAGAACAAAGATCAATGGTATTCATGAAGCTTTGTTGTGAGGTATTTAATTTTGATGATTAAAGTTTTTAAAAATATTACCTTATTTATTTTTTGGGTTTTCGCAATTAATAGATGAAATTAGGAGTTGTTTATTTATCTTTTAATAGTTTTATTAAGAGATAGTTTCATAATCGTAAAAAAGTGAATTTTGTTTGGCAAAAAGAAAATTGTCACTTAATAGTTCAAAACCTTCTGTATGATTTTGTATCTTGTGTCTCCCTTAACCATTTAACGCCCTAATTTTACCGTAAACAATTACCAAACAATTATATTTCATTTTGCACTATATCATTGTCACACCCCGCTAAAGCGGAAACACGAGATGTAACAGACAAGCGAGTCATAACAACAGTTAATAAATAACACCATTCCAAGTTGTTCAAAAACAAAACAAGTTTATCGACATAACTGAAATTAGAACTGAATACACTTTTCTCAAAATACTTCAATTTCAGACTTTAATCGATCTTGCCACAAGTATGCTCCCAAAACAGAACCAACTTTACTTAAATCCTGAAAAGCATGAAAATAAAACAAGGTCAACTACAAAGAGTTGGTGAGTTCACGGGTTTTCATATGCACAAAACATTTTCAATGCATAAACCAAGTAATTGCAAACTTATGCGAATTCTTTGCACTTAATAAAAGTAAATCTCTCACAATGTAGAACTTGAGACGCTACTGAGTCTTACCTGACCAACTGCCCCATTAATTTTCGAACAACCAAAAGTAGCCCGTACACTACTTAGGTCCTACAGTTTGATACAGTACTAATTCAGCGGTGGTTCAAATTCCACATGATTAGACCGAGAAAACGTAGGTAATGTGCACCCCTTTCTGGGTGGGACTGTCAACACAATAGCGGCTATTCATAATACCACGGCCCGGGGATGTACCCAAGTTAACAAGTAGCGTTTACAGACGGGGACTTATATTTGAAAAATATACTCTCAAGCACATCAATTTAACATTTATTCAAAGTGCAATAACAGTTAACAAATATAGCTTAGAAAAACCCGACTAAGCAGTTCCTTAGTCTAGAGGTTTCAAGCAAAGCATCGACTAAGCAGTTCCTTAGCCCGAAGGTTTTGAGCAAAGCATCGACTAAGCAGTTCCTTAGCCC